TTTAAATCAATAAAAATCCACAGAAACATGCATTCCTACTGTTACTCGGGTCACCTCTACACAGATCTGACCTGTAATATGGCTTGGTGAATGTCTCCATGGAGATACGATTATTGCCGTTACCATATTTTCCGGGCTATAGGGTGCGCTCTTAAGCCTCCAACCCCATGAAAAAACGACCGCGCGCCCCACAGTCCAGAGCGCCCTATACAAAAGTCCACTCGGGTGTCCCAGCACGACTTCAGTAAACTACAATGCCTCACCACCCACAGCGCACGCAAATGCGCACAGAGCAGACAGCAACCGCACAGCGAAAAACACCCGCAGCCACACTCATCACTCCACGCGGACGAGGAATGGAACGGAGGAAAGAACCGAAAAAGCGAGTACAATGTGCCACTTCTAGCCAAAACTGAACAACTGAGTCACTGCGAACACGCCAAGAATCCAGCGATCCCAGACAGCACCCTCCCTACACGCCACAACTGAACAAAGCCCAGAGTCACCGTGAACGCGGCAAACAAAGTCCCACTGACCCATCTAACTGTGTTTCATTTAAAGTCCAGTGTGGTTTATTTGTGAAAAAAGTTCAAAAATAGACCATTTAATGACAGTGCGCCTTAAAATTCAGAGTGCCTAATAGTGCAGAAAATACGGTATACTCACAGCCCAAAACAATAACATCTCCATACAAGCAGTTGGTGGACCCTACTAGTAAAGTTACACAATGCACCTTTAAGATCAGTACATGAGAAAACAGCTGAAAAAGTTTTCCATCATAACATTACCACAGAGTCACTTCCAATATCTTTAACCAGTGATTAAATATACCACAACATAGTTTACAAGTTTACCTTTAGTCAAAACTCTCATTTTACCTTTAAACTTCTTCTTACTCATAGCAGCCATCTGAGAGTTACTTTTTCTCATTTTATTTTTGTCCCTGTGATCTTTGGCTCTGGGAAACTAGTTCTGAAAACACGCTCTTAAACTGCAGCTCTGGAATTGCCACCATTTTACTTCACTCACCTTATAGCATATAAGTATTGTACAATATGGCCCAAATGCACAAACTAGATAGAGACTTTAAAGTGCTTGTTCAATGGGCTGGGACCTGAGAAATGGATTTTGAGCAGGGGCTTGAATACATATGTAAAACTGTAATATAATCTTGAATTGAATTGAATATATAGGTGGTGCAAAAAAGAGAAAAGATATAAAGGTGCACTATGTAACTTCACCTGCTTGTTTCTGTGGATATGTCATTGCTTCGAATGTTCCACAATATGGCATTAAACAGCTCTACCTTACACGTATTCAATTAGATGCAGTTTTATGGCTCAAAAATATCTAGAAAACTGGCATTCTGACTGTGACTGTGAATTTGGTCTGGTTTGGTGTCCATGTAGCTAGGCTTGCGCCACCTTGTGCCCCCACTCAATTTCATTTCCCTCCAGTGTCTAGGTCAAGAATCAGAATACACTAGACAGTTTGCAAGAACTCTGAAAGTTGTAGACCGTGCACTGGCCAATCAGTGAAGAGCTGTGAAGCCATGACGTCACACTCAAGCGCCTGTCTGGGTCTTTTTTGTGGTACAGCACAACAGTAAACAAAGCGGTCGAGATGGATGTAGACGAAGCCGTATATTCTGTGTGGCAACGATTCCTGAGATCGAAGATTTAAAGCCGGAACAAAGAGAATGTTTGGTGAATTTTATCAAGAGGAAAGATGTTATTGCCCTTCTTCCTACGGGATTTGGCGCATTACATACGTCAAGACCAAATAGCAATTGATTAAATAAAAAAGTACCCACCTACCGTCGAGTGAACAAATCCTAATACTGCGAGGACAGACGCTTTCCAGCAGGCTAGTGTCCATGATGATAGAAGGTTTAATGCCGTACTGGAAAATATCTCAGACAAAGCAATAACATCTCCATGGAGAAAAGCATTCGATGGACCCTCCACCAGAAAAGTTACACAATGCACCTTTAAGAGTTACCATAATAACATTGTTGATTTGGTTTGACGTTGTACAAATGTTACTGTCGTTTCACATTTCAGCAAAATTTCTGCTGCATAAAAATGTGTAACTTTATGCATTCAGGACATCCTAATTATTCACCACGATGAGTTTCTAAATGCTTTCGACTTGAGGAAGAGATGAGAATGAAAGCTGAAAACCGCGTATTTCCTGCTTCTCAGAAAATAAACCACATTATAATTTCATGCTGCTTCTTACTATTGTACTGGGGAAAGACACATTTTACTCAAATATATGGAACAAAATCAGATAGAGGACATTTAAAATTTGTCACTTTATATGCCACTAGGGATGCACCAATCCAGCCTTTTTAGTTATCGATACTGACTTTGAGTATCCGGCAATTCCAGATATTAACTGATACGAGAGGGACGGGGATGGAAAATAACATTTATTTCCTTAAAGTAATGTCCAGTAGTGTTATGTAACTGTAATTTATCCTTCAGATAAATACTCAGTGGCTCTGTATGAATTAAAGTTCAAACTTTATGAGACATTCTAGGCCAAAATGAGCCTGTGAATAGTCTTGTTATATCCAGTTAAAGGCCCAACCAGTATATTGACTGAACCGATATCATTTTATTTAGAAGAGCTTTTAATGTGTAACGTTTCTCAGTATGAGTCACTGCTTCATCTTTCCTCTCTTATTTGTTTATTGCTCTTTTGACTGTTTTAATTTGTTCTGTAAAGTGTAGAGCTTGACCGATATATCGGCTGGCCGATATTATCGGCCAATATGGGCACCTGGAGACATATTGGCTATCGGCCGATATGCTTGCTGATATGGGCCGATATTTCACGTGGGCATGTTATACCTCGTTATAAAGCTTAGACTCTCTACATTATGTTCATTTAATCCAATTTACAGACAGATAAATGTCCTAATATGTGGCTCCGCATCAGTATTTATCTACGGTGTAATTTGTCTGTGTCTGTGTCCGTACTGTCCCTGAACACACCACAGAGTGACGTCACTTCACTCGCGTGTGTTTGTTTACACCCGCAGCGGTGCGCAACACTGAGATTATTTTCTTTTTCGGACAATCGGTTTGAGTCTGGATTAAAAGAACATTTATTAGTGCAGACTTGTGATGTGAGGAGGAGCCTGTGTGAGCGGTGAGTGTTGGAAATACATCGACTTTGAAGCTAGTTTAGGTTTTGTTAGCGGTTAGCTGCTGTAGCTCCCACACATAAACAGGCTGTTTTCTATTGGTCTATTGTAAAGTGACTACATTGGCCGTATATTTGTTACTGGACCAGCATTGATATGTAAATGAGCTGTGAATAGACGTGTGAATGATCCACATTTATGCATATAATTAATTACCGCGGTGCGCACGTTTTTACGGCTAAAGGCTAATAGCGATAGTTTACTAGCTAGGAGTTATGGGTCGGTCGCGATCGAAGCGGCTCTTAGTGCCGACTCTTTGAAGCGAACAACAGGAGCCTGCTTCTTATTGGGAGCCGTGTTTTCTCTTTTTCTCACTTTTTCTCTTCATGCCGCATGTAGACCTGTAGTTTGACAGCAGCAGCGGCTGAAAACGAAACTTTCAGAAATCTGCGTGTGCATAGGATAAAAAAGTGCATATTTGGCTGCAGTTCAGCATAAAATGAATAAACCAGGACTAAACTTGGGCTTGAGTGAAGGAGAGAGATAGAAACCGAGTCCCGACACTCAGTCCTGGTTCAGTTCTAGTTTAGTCCTGCTTGCAACAAAACCATCTCAAGAGTCGCTTGGGAGCCGAAAGAGCCAGTTGCTTTAGTGAGCCGAGCCGGAAAAAAAAAAACTGGAATACCCATCACTAGCAGTGACAGTAACAGTAGCTAGAATGTGATGCAAAAATGCCATTAGGCCAATCTACTGTATGTAAATATGATGTAAAGCACAGGTGTCAAACATAAGGCCCGGGGGCCAGACCCGGCCCTCCAAGACTTTTAATCTGGCCCTCGGCTGATTTTCTACTAAAATATTTTATTTATGTTTTCTATTAAAGTATTGGTTTAATTTATAATTTTCTGCGGTGGTTAGTATAGCAGTGTCTCCAGCATCTGTACGTGGCCCCTCCCACCAGAGCAGCACAAATGAAGACTTGTCTCTTTCCAAACGCTCTTAAAGGACAATCGTTTTGACTGTTGACAGTGACACCCTCATCAACAAAATGTCCAACATGAGAAAAGTGGAGCCGAGTGCAGGATTTTACAAGAAAAATTGACTTATTCCTATTTTCATACAAGTTATTTTTAAAATGTTGTGTTGAAATAGCATTTTCTTAAAGTTTCAGGTTGTTCATAATATTATAATATTTTGTAAAAGAAAGATTTCATCAATTAAAAAAGATTTCTGTAAAAGATTTGTGTTTCTCTGCACAAATATCTGAACTTATTGCTATTTTTGGGGTTTATATGACATGAGTTTTCTGATCTGGCCCCTTTGGGATCAAAGTAGGTTGGATACGGCCACCGGACCAAAATGAGTTTGACATCCCTGATGTAAAGAGTCAAAATAACAATAAATGTTGCCTAAATAAACCCAATTTAGAATCCACTAGAGCCAAACCTAAGTTTTTTAATCAATTCAAGATTTACAGTGAATTTTTACATCACTAAATATATCAGCGATTATATCGGCTATCGGCAGCGCCAACTCCCATTATATCGGTTTCATATCGGTCACAACAAAATCCATATCGGTCGGGCTCTAGTAAAGTGTCTTTGAGTGTAATGAAAAGCGCTATATAAATAAAATGTATTATTATTATAAAACTGATACCCGATCCAGCTAATTTTTCAGTATTGGTGCCATATTCAGTACCAATATCGGCATCTTTGTATCCCTATTATCCATGGGACACAATACCTGTTCTATCCTGTAATATATTCAGTGTTATTTTAGACTGACAAGTGTGATATTTCTCCCTATACTAAATGTGTGTTCTCTTTCTTTTTCTCTGTTGCAGTGTGGGCCTCGGATGGCGTGACAGCCTTGTATGGAGAGACCATCGTTGTTCCGTGCAATGGAGGATCACCGCCTCTGAATGAGCTAATGTTCATCAAGTGGAAATATGTAAGTCAATAGATATACACTGTAAATATATATACTGTGTGTGTATATATATTTATATGCAGTCAATAGTGCTCAGATTGTGACAGGGCCGGGCTGGGTTCACTGAGAATCACACAGGAAGAAAGAGACAAGTGACAGCACTGACCTTTCTTTTCTGTAGACCACTCTCTCCCTTTAAATTTAAACAAAATAAGCTTCTCAAAGTACATCGCAGGAAAGATGAATATATGAGTATAATACTATTAATACAACTTGACATATTGTAGAAAGGTCTGTACAGTCTGAATGATTCACACATTATTAATAAAATACTATTGAAACTTTCACTGAAAAAGATGGTGGAGTTTTGAAAGGATTCTGTACTACTGCAAGATAATGGAAAATAATAACAGAACTAACTTAGTTTGTTAAAAGCAAAGTCCCAGTCATCTGGGATAATTTGACAAATGAGCTTTGAGATTTGGTCCCCATCTCTTGACAAGAACCTTTTAAGTTCAGTTCTACACAGTAATCAATTAACCTGAGAGCCATATCTGTCTCTCAGAATATAAAACTATAATGAAGTCTAATGTCAAATAAAAAGGCTGAGATTTCTTTTCCATTCTTATTTTCCATATAGTGCTTTAGAGCTGTGTTTCAGGGCTGCTCCAGCACAGACTGTACTGTGTGTGTCTGATTGAGGAAAATTGACTTTACTCAGCGTACTCCGGTATTTTTGGGTCTTCTTTCCTATCTGAACTGCAGCTTCCTCTCTTAGTACAGCCTTGTTACTCGTAGGGTTGTTCCGATACCCATACTCATCAGCAAAAGCTCCAGTACTGAACATTTTTTCAGGTATCTTATCAGCAAGTACTTAGGCCAAATCACTGATTCGATATGACTGTATTTTTCTGAATGAGGAGCCACAGATGTGAGCAGCCTCTGTTGACATTTGCGCCTGATGTTAAGGCCCAGATTAGGTTAAATACACTGTGTGGAGGCTTTGCAGACACTTAAAACACCTAATAATAAGAGGCATTTGTGTTACCTCTTTGAAACCTTTATTTGTCTTTGGTGTGGACGCTGAACTTAGTACTAACACAAAGCTATGGAGAGGGCAGTGCCGAAAACAGGCTAACTCAGAATTTGTTTACTCTGCTTAATTAGCCATATGCTCTGAGGATGAGCATCTTTTTACAGGCAACACTGCTGTTTTTATCTACGCTCTATAGTAGAAAAGTAAAAAGTGCTTAAGTCATAACTCTAATACTATAGGCCTCAAAATCACATTCTTGTGCATTTTCTATAGAGATGGCCTTTTAGTCATTATTTTTTGCTCTTGTCCTGTTACGGAATTACAAAATTTGTCTCCTTCTTCGCACTATGCGGTATTGGACTGATATCAGTATGGACGAGTATTCATTTTTTAATTTATTCATTTTGAGCAGATTATGAAAAATGAAAGTATACAAGTACACTTAAGGTACATTTCAAGTATTGGTATCAGATCAAATACCAAAAAAAGGTATCGGAAGAACACTAGATACTCGTACCTGTCCAAGCGCAGGGCTTGTGTTCAGAGGAAACTGATGGATGGTCTTTGACTAAACGTTACAAATGAAACCCAGCATCTGCCTTGGATGTGTGCCTGGGATTCCTGATGGCAGTAAATATGGGCCGTCATAGTCTCTGGTGTAATTAGCCAAAGAAATGAGGAGCTGTCAGTCTGAGGCTGCTAATGTTCGCCGAGACAATGGGACTTGGCACAGTCTGGCCCTTATATTAAACATTGAGTGATTCTGAAGTTAACAATTACACTAATGCATTTCTGTAATAGAGGGATGCAAAAGGTTGTATTGCACATTTTAAAAACTCAATTTATTTCAAACTCTTGTGGAAACAAAAGGCAATTTACAATATAAACCACTTTGTAAATAAGCCGTAAAAAATGAATCCAACTAGACACTCGAGAGTGCAGATTACCGTAAAGGCGCTAACACGTCTAACAGCGAGAAAGATGGAGGGATCAAACTCAGGGCATCTGCAGTGAATATAAAATAATTTATGCTCTGTGTTGTAATGTAAATAATAATAAATGTACCGAGTGTGGCCAAATGTCTTTTTCGGAACACTTCTCAATAATGTAATAATATAGAGAATAGTCACCTTCTTTGTCGATAGAAAACTTAAAGGTGCACTGTGTAACTTTTGTGGTTCTGGCTTTGATTAGTATATGCAATAGGACGTTAATGTATCTATCATGCATTTATTCAATTACAGATGTTTCATTGATCTAAAATACCTTGAAAAACATTTATTCTTACCATGAGCAGGGTCGCCTCTCCACAGATCAGACCTGTGTCTTGCCCTCATGTTGCATTTAAATAGACAACTCTAATTCCATATTGCGGAACATTGCTCACAAAACAGTAATAGCTCAATGAGGACTGCACGATGCCGATCCAGCTTTTTCTTTTCCAATATTGATGACGATACTATGGCTTAAGTGTCTGCGATATCCACTCCAAATATGTTTTGTAACTGTTATCATTTAAAGTAACTACAGAACAACTTTGCCAGTCCAGTATTACGAGGTAGGGCTGGGAGATATGGAGCAAAAAATATATCTTAATATATTTTGCGATATCTCGATATACAATATAATCTCGATATCTGTACAGGAAAAATAATCCTGCAAAAACAAATATGCCATATTCCACAAGGTCTTTTTTATCGAAGTGCACAGAGGTAGGCAGTTCATGCTCGAACGAAGTGCTTCTGTGACATGAAAAAATTAAATAAAAAAGCCCTGTATACAAAAATCATAATTTAACTGTAAAATAAGGAAGAAATAATGCATATTGCCTTCTTTTTATTCAAAAATAAAACAACTCAACTCATCTCATCATATTTAGCAGAGGAAGCTCATGAGGTGCTTTATTTTAATACATCCATGTTCCTAACCAGCGGTAAAAAGCTCTGAGGTATCCCACAATCCACTGCTCAGATCAAACCGAACATTTCCAAATACTATTGTACAAGTTCTACACTGCAGCAGATTATTAATTAAAATCTTCTGCATAAATAAACTTTACATTACTAAACATATAAAACATAAAAACTACTATAGAGCCACATCAGTGAGATTATAATATGTTTAAAGTAGTTTTGCACACATTTATTGAAATTTATTTAAGGGTTAGTCAGAATCCATTTTGTGTTTAAAAATATCTTGATATATTTTAAATATTGAGATATCGGCCACCCCTATTATGAGGTGTTTTAGGCCAACAGTAGTCAGTAAATCCTCTTATTACACCAAATTATACAAAGTTATAGATTTGAAACTTAATACAGTTATGAATGTTGACACCAATTTATAAACGAAAATAGGATGTCAAATGAACCGGTATCTTCTGGCCGATATTTGATCCATCAGAATTTTCAATATCAGCAGGTGGCGTACCCGCGACTAGAAAAGTTACACAGTACTCCTTTAAAGTGACTATTGTTTGGTTTAACACAGCCATGGCTTGTCCCTGAAGTCCCAGCCTGCCCCTCCTTTATATGGCCGAGCACAGCCTCAGAGAAGCTGTAGGCTCTGTTTGCCTCGAGATGTCAGAGAAATGAATCATGGGTATGAGCAAACAGATGAAACAGGCTCCATAGCTGCATACAGACACCTCCTCCCACCACTGCACTACACGCGGCTGTGATCTGCTCCTATGACGATAACTCTGGAACTGGAAAAACATCTAATTGCAGTATCTCTCACAAACTTTGCAATTGTGATTACATTTGTTATTTATATTTTGACAGTAAGGTTCTGTTCACAGTGCACATTTTAACTCCAGCAGTGTTAACGTTTCAGAGGAGAGTGAAATCTGAACTGCTAAACTAATACAAAAATCCTGTGTACTTCAAAACATGTTTGTAGAGGTCTCAGGCACAGGGCTAGCAGGTTTTAGCCATGATTAGACACTGTGTTTTGTTCTTGGTTGAGGAAATTATGTTACTTAAAATAGACCTAAATAAAAGCATGTTTTATTTATTTTGGTTGTATTTATTACAGTGGAAAACAAAGAAAATCTAGTCATCTTTATGTGTATAGCACATAAACTAGCAGTTTCCAAAATGCAGCACAGATAATCAAAGACAATACAAGACAGTAAATAGTAAATAAAACAGTTACAAAGAAAAAGCATAATAGAAAAGCGTGTGTACTTACTGTGGGCAGGCCTGTATCTCCACAAAACTTGACTCTTATTTGGAGAAGGGCACCCCCATGGCCCCCCAAAGATAACAAAAAAATGTTCATTTTCATAAGACATTCAAACTAGACTCAAAATGTTCAAATTTGACCACAGAGTGTCTAAAATGTAAATATGAAGCAAACCTATAATAGCCTGATTTATCAGCCGGTTTCACTTCATAGAAATTGTCTGACCTCGCAGCATTCGTTGGCTCGACAGTAGGCGGGTACTTTTTATCATTTAACCAATTGTTGCTATTTGGCCATGATGTATGTAATGCGCCGCTAACAGGGCTAACTGGTATATTAAGCTTTTCCCAAATCCCATAGGAAGAAGGGCAATAATGGCTTTCCCCTTGCTAAAACTCACCCAAATCTCTCTTCTGGCTTTAAATCCTCCTCTTCTGGAATCGTCTGCCACGACTTTTTTGCTAAAACTCACCCAAATCTCTCTTCTGGCTTTAAATCCTCGATCTCGGGAATCGTTGCCACGACAGAATGTATGGCTTTTCGCTGACTGACTGGTGCACGGACTCGCACTTCTTGTGTTCTTACAAACCATCTAGTGTATTCTGATTCCTGACCTAGACAATGGACAGAAATGAAATTAAGCGGACGCACTAGGTGGCAACAGACTGGCAACCCCTATAGCGCCTTGACCCACAAATGTGTGGCGCCGCTCCTGTTCCTTTGTCTAACCTTTTTATCTCCATGCAGAATGTTCCAAAGTTTGGTTTTAACTTTATATTTTCATTGAATTATATAGGTGACCTGCCACTTCCATCTTGCAGCCATTTCAATTAGACTGTGATATATCTTGCAGCCCTAACTTTGATCTCATTGTGTTTGTGGCGACTTTAGGAGAAAGCTGACGGCTCGCCCGGTGATCTGCTGGTCAAACAGAACCAGAAGGAGGCCACAGTCCAGGCCACAGACGGATACGCCTCTAGAGTCAGCATTGACGACAAGTACAACCTCCTCATCACTGGGGCAACGCTCATGGACCAGCACGTCTTCACCTGCATGGTCGTGTCTGCCACCAACCTCAATGAGTTTCCTGTCTCTGTCTCCGTGCACAGTGAGAACTCTCATTCATAACTTCATAACTATAGACACTGTTTTGTATACGCATCCATTTTCTCACACTTTGTCCCAGTAGAGGTCAGGAGGGACCATAGACTGTATAAAGAAGTGGACTAAAGGAGTGTGACGTCTCCCATAGTGTGCTGCTCCAGTCAAATCAAGCTCATCAGGCTAGCAGTTACTGGGGTATAGGGCAAATTTGGATCCGGTTCCATTTTTTTTTACAAAATAATGAAATAAAAACACCGGGATCATGTAGAGTGGGTTAATGCAAACATTTTAAGAGCAAAATGACGAGGCTCACTGCAGCAGTTACTGAGAGAGGGGTGACAAATTTTCAATGTAAAGTCAACTGGAAACAGAGTTGATGGAGCTGGAAGTACGCTTACTTCCTATTTGGAGTTTTGTCCCTTCATATATACAGCCTATGGGAGGGGCTGAAGTCTGTTCCAAAAATTATAGGTGCAACATTGACAATGAGTAGTCTGATTAATAAGTTTGATTTATAAAATAATATATATAGTTATGTTTATTTTTACACATAAGCACAAAAAGACCATGTGATTCTCTAACTGGTAAACACAACTGTCAGTCACACTTATTGAAAATCAGGAAGTACGCACTAGCATGTGTTGTCTTCCTAGAAATCAAATGTGAAAAGGGAAATTTAAAATGTGCCGAAACCTGCTTGTAAATGTCTTGGTTGAGGTTCAAGTAGTAACATGGACAATAAAATTAACCACAAAAGTTAAGAAACACATCGTAGCACACAATTTCACATAGTTTTGATAGACAAGTTTAATCTTTAGTGATCCACAAGGGAAATTATTTGGACACAGCAGCTCACAGAAAAAAATAGCAAGAGACTGTTGTCAAATAAGGCATAATTATATAAATGTAAATGTACAAGTAAAAATAAAATATAGAAATATAGTAATACAATGCTATGTACAAGAGATCGTAAAGAGAAACAGTGCAAAGATGAAAAAAAAATGTAAATGTTAAAATGAATAAAAAATGCTGAATAATAAACTCTAATAAATCAATAATATAATAATAATAATATAATATATAGTAATAAATAAATAATAAATGTGTAAAATATAGGAAAAATTTTTACCGATGTTGCTATGGAGACCAGTGAATGAAAACTTAAGCTCAAGAAACACATCTGACTTGAACTAATTGCACAAAACCTGTATATAGTCGGTGTATATTTGCTTTAAATATAAGGGCAAATAATACGCCCACACAGTTAAATAACAAAGCTTTTTTATTTATTTTTGCAACTCACATCTCAACTCACTCTTTTTATAAATCTGCACCAAAGCGGTCTATTAATTGAGTCAATATTATGCACAGACAAATAACTACAAGTCTCTGAAACCATTGATATGATTATTTCAACAGAAGCATTAGCCCTGACTAATTAGCCCTCCACTGAAGACAATCACATTTGCAAAGCTTATTCACGGATACATGGACGATATGTGGAGACGCTAGCTTACCAGTATTGTGTCTAATTGCGTTGAAATGTTGTTTTTAGCCACGCCGGGGTGTCATTGCGCTTCCCTTCATGCTTGGAGAAATATAGTTGTGAATCTGAATTTTACTCCCCAAAAATGTCCATGTATCACCTGCTAATGGGTTTTGCAAAACCAAGCGTGAAATAGGACATGAGGAGAGCCGCTCAATAGGCCTTGGAGATAGCATTAGGTTGTAGTTAAGTGCGGCCATGTTGGAATGATGTCCTACAGACGCAATATTAACTATGCTATAAGTTTTTTTCCCGAGCATTTCAGATGGACAGATCGGATTGTAAAAGTTTGCACATACTTATACAGCTTCTTTCACATCGCCCGGGTTCACCTCGCAATGTTATATCCATCTTACATCAGCATCAATAGCTGTAGTAAAGTTTGCAGTATTGATCATGGAGCTGACTTTTGTTTTTTCACGTTTGCAGAGAAGCCGGCCCAGGTGCAGGTCATGGACAAGGCTGACGTGCTGCAAAAAGACAAGCCAACAATGGTAAGGTTGAGTGAGGTTGTTGTCGCGGTAGTAATGTATGCGCTCTATGTAAATATTTACCCAGCGTGCAGACTGCACTTTGTCGGACTGAATGAGCTGCCGACGGCCCACGGTCAACACAGCGGACCTCGTGACAAGAAAGGCAGAGAGGAGAAGAGGAGAGGTCCACAGTGGTCAAAGGAGTACTATATAATTTACACAGTTCAAGAAGCTCCAGGCGTAAGAGGAAGTGGAGGAGAGAGCACTACATGCCACAAACAAGACAACGTGATCTACTTCACTTACAGTTTGCATGCTAAGAAACCAGAGGGAATCAGTTGTAGTAGTGTCTTGATGTCTTTGCCAAAGATGATAATTTGGATGAAATAAAAATAGTTAAAGCTGCATTGCGTAACTTTTTGGCCAGAGGGTCCACTATCTACTTGTCTCCATGGAAATATTATGACTTTGTCTGGAATGGTCCATAGTATAGATTAAACTTATCTGTCACGAAGGAGACACTTCAGAGTATAAAACGAGAGATGTTTGTGTCTAAATGCTAATCCCAATTTTGAGGCATAATAAATATTAAACAACACCAGGAACTGAAGTATTCTACATATAAACAAAACTGAGTAGTGTTTATTTCAATTAATTTGAATTTTAATAGGTTGTTTATTTTATGTTTTATGATTTGAACAGTGAGCTGTGCAGAGTCGCCTCTATTCACAGAAGGAACTATTGTGTTTTTGAGCAACAGAAACTCACATAATGACAAAATGCTACATGGGCATGTTTATTGTCATACCATTTCAAGGAAAGTAGTAACATATCCATGAAGACAAGCAGGAAGCAGAACCTCCACCAGAAAAGTTACACAGTGTAAAGTAGAATGAAATACAATGTAAGTAGGATAAATAGTTCAAGTGGCTACATGAGCGGTCCCCAACCTTTTTTGTGCCATGGACCGGTTTAACGTCAGACAATATTTTCACAGACCGGCCTTGAAGGTGTGATGGATAAATACCACAAAATAAAATGATACGACCAAAACAAAAACTGTGGTGTTGTATATAGTAAATATAATAATACATATTTCCAAAGACATCTGTTTTTTACTTATTTTGCAGCTTGTGGGTTTAATATTAATATTAATGTGTCACGTGACCAAGACAAGCATCTTGAATCAAGAGTGAGTCATAGTCAGGAGAGAATTTGGTAATTTTTCAAAATAAAACATTCTTCAGACTCGGATAATAAATAAAATGCAAATAAAGTAAGTTATTTATTCTTTCTGTGTGGCCCAGTACCAAACGATCCACGGACCGGTACCGCTCCCCGGCCCAGGGGTTGTGGACCGCTGGGCTACATACAATCAAATGTAATATGTTGTATTAATGTAGTTAGTGTTTGTTTTTAAGTCATTACTTTGATTACATATCTGCAAGGAGTGCCACCACACTGGTCAACATAGCACTTCAAATGGACAGGCATTACATTTCATTGACACATTTTACCTAAAAGACACCAATGTAAAGAATGTTTTTATCAAGAAAAATTTAGTAAAACACATGCTTCCTTAGGATCAGGCCTGCATCTCCACAAATCTGACTTTTACTTGGCCTCTAGCAGGGCTTTAATATCCCACATTAAACTAACCAATCTCCATGGAGGATGTTCCAAAGTATGGTTTTAACTTCCTTTATTTCCAAGGAGGCTACGCTTCACCTCCAAAAAGTTCCGCAATGTTGCTTTGAAATTTGAAGTGCCCTGCTAACGATGCAACATTAGCATTGAAATTATTGAAGGATTACAATACAGTTTCCAAATTTATGAGAATCCCCATAAATGCAGCACTATTATTCATATCAGAGAAATTCTTACAGCGTATCTAGGTAACAGTTGACTTGCTTTGGCTTGGTCCAGCCTTGAGATGAGGCACTCAATGGCTGCATTCAAGGACAAATCTGACAATAGTGATACTTGACATCTTCAAATGAGCTCTTGCCTCACTACATATCTGGATGCCCACATAGTCGATAATGCATATTTTGGCAGACAGCTTTTGTTGCTCTGACACTTATTGAAAAATGCAGTCTGATTATGATTGATGAGTTACAGCTTGCTTTCCTCTGGTGCCAGTTCGTTCTTGTATTGCGGCTGGATTCCAACAGTAGTGTTTTTATTAGACAAAATGGAATAACATGACTTTGTAAAGATGTACAATGTAACTTTTCTGGTAGAGGGTCCACCGCCTGCTTGTCTGCTTTGTGATTCACATTATGGCATTGAACTTGTCTAGTATCCATAGAGAAAAGTAGATGACTTGACAAGGTCAAGTTACAAGTCAGAGCTGTGGAGATGCACTCCCACTGATGCTCTCACAGTAAGAATGCATGGTTTTCAAGCAAGCAAATTAGCAATACAAACACCCGCAGTGGTTAGAATGATTCACACTGTGATACCATATCTCCACCACCTTGACTAACCAATTTTCTGAACATTGAATGAGAAAGAACGAAAAGGGAAAGTAGTATCAAAATGGACACATTTGCAACACTAACTTCTCACACAGGCTCCTCTCAGATCACAAGTCTTCACAAATAAGTGTCCTTTTAATGCTGACTCGAAACGATTGTGTGTAAAAAGAATATAATCCAGCGTGTCGACAACAGCTGCGTCGGTCCTCTCTCTAAGGGAAAGTCTGCTCTTCTCTGCATTCACACTGTGATTAAAACAGCAGTAGTTTTGTTGCTGGCCTAAACTGCGCTGAAGTTAACTTTTATTTATAGTCAGTATCGTAGATCAGACTACAAGAGCATTTAAAGCCAGTGCCTCAGTGCTGCTCGCATGGATCTGTGGCTGCGCAAGGGTGTAAATAAGCGCAAGTGAGTGACGAGACTCTGGGGGTGCATTCAGGGGCAGTACGGTGTTACAGACACAGACAAATTACTCAGCAGATAAATATTGATGCGGTGCCACATATTAGGACATTTATCTGTAAATTGGATTAAATGGACATAATATATAGAGTCTAAGCTTGATAATGAGGGGCCAGGCTGGATAACATAGCCAATGTGTCTCCAAGTGAAGATATCGGTGCGATATATCGTTTGGCCGATATATGAACACTTATAAATGAATAAATGCATAAGATAGATAGATATATAGATTATACTATACTGTAGAATATCCAAGTCAATCTGTAACATCTCCATGGTGACATCAGATCAGGTAATGGCCCCTCCATCTTAAAAGTTACATAAAACTCCTTTAATCAAAGTCAAGTTAATGGAGAAATAGTCAATACAAACACCTGTAACTGAATAAATGCAAGGTAGAGAGTTTCATCCTGTACAATAGAATATCCAAGCCAATCTATATCTCCACGGTAACGGGCAGGTAGTCGTCCCGCCATCTTGAAAGTTACGCAGCACCCCTTTAATCAAAGTCAATTTAATGGGGAAATAGTCGAGATTTACCGTGGGTTAAATTGACCATAGCGGTAAACTAATAGCATTGATTTAGTGCTTAGGCTTCACGGCACACTCCAACCGCGCGTGCATGCCCCCAGGTCGTCAGCGGCGATAGGCTCCAAACAGCTAATTACATTTCCAACACGTGTCTCCTTCCACACAAGTGACGAGACTGTCTATGGGGTTATTAATAGAGCGATCCGGCTTGTTGCTTAATTGTTATTCTCTGTTTAACACTCGAATGAAGACTGTGATTATGTCCTCTGGCAGCTACCACCAGGGCATATACAAAGTGCTTATTTATGATATCTGATAGCCCAGTATGGGACAGACCAGTTAATTGCCATATTGCTGGGTTTGACATTACAACACAACATTATACAGATATATCTAATGGAGATGCGGCAGGTAAAATTACTAGTGTTGCTGTTAGACAAAATATTGTTATTATCTTGCGAGGTTAAGGGCCAGTCGCTAGTAGAAATAGTAATAAAAATCCAGTGTGATCAATGTATGGCTTTATGCAACATTTTGTGGATCTTTTCTCATAAGATGTCTTGTTTTTGTTTTGTTTAAAGGTGCACTGTGTAACTTTTGGGTTGGGCATCTGTCTCCTGCTTATGGATAATATGTCATTGCTCTGCTTAGAATGTTCCACAATATGACATTTAATAGATCTACCTTACATTTATTCAATTACAGGTGGTTTTATAGCTCAAAAGTACCTAGAAAAACATGCATTCTGACTAGGGGTGTGCCAAAATATTGAAATATCAATTTATCGTATCGCTTAATGTGATGATACAGTATTGATATCATGGGCTGCTGTATCGATATATCACCAAGAGGATTTTTTTGTATATTTTACTGAATTATTTGGCTACAGCACTACAGTTTTGTTGCTTGTTCAGAGGAAAGAAACTCATTTATGCAACACATTTGACATTTTCACAGTTTTCATGAGTAAAATGGGTGTGTTTCATATGAACTTTACACAAGAAATGTTATAACAAAGACTTTTAGTATTACACCCATGATTTAGCCTTTATTTTTATTGAACCGTATCGAATCGATTTGAAATATATCATATCAAATCGAAAGTGCACTGGGTCCGGTCAAGCAGTAACGGAGGGAAACAGGGGCAGATTTTTTAGATTCAAATAGCTCTTATTCAGAAACTAGAGGGACTATTGAAATAAGTAAAGGTATCAGAATGTAGGAAAGAGTTAACACTCCAACAGGGTAAAGTTAACGCTGCTATATTCTTTCAAGTTGTTGACAAAAAATAAAAAAACTCATGTTGCTTAACGGAGGGAATGAAATATGCAGCACTTTTTGGGCAATAAATACGAACAGCGATAACTAGCGGTTCTCACTTACATATCCTTAACAAACTGGTTTGAATATTTGCTTAATATAGTTTTCTACCATATGGACAAGATTAGGTTGAAAAACATTTTACTTTTTGAGTAATGAGATTTTTTATTAAGAAACGTCATGGTAACGGAGGGAAAAGTAATAGAGGGAAAACTGAGAAAATTTTTT